TGTCATTCAAAATAATTTTTCAACAGGACAAGGTCATCAATCAATTACAAGATGAGATCAGAGAACAACAGGATGAACGGAAAACTATGAGTAAAGCATTGCAAGAACAAGCCAAGTATGTAATGCATCCAAATTGACAAAAATTGTCCAGGACTACTTCATGTACAATTATGTACTTCCGGCTGGTCATGCCAATTAAGTTTGCTCACAGATAATTTTCATTCACTTGTGATATATTTTGACAGCTGAATTTATTTGTAATTTACAGTTTCAGCAATGAATTGCAAGAGAAGTGTCTGGCTTTAGAAGGTTATATTATTATATAATATTTTATTAATTATAATTTTTAACATTTTTCAAGTGGCATACATGTAACAGGTGGACTTGCGCGGCCAGTGAGAACGAATGAGATCTGAGGATTCTTAGGCAATTTTATTTAGGAATAAAATCACAATTGATTACACATAGTATAAACGGGAACGTCTAACACGTTGCTCTTGACTAACAGTAGAAAGTCTGACTTTGTCCCAACTTTGTCTTGCTTGTATGCTCCAAACTCTACACACTGAAATGTCTTGGTTTCTAACTTATATTTATATGGAAAATTGTGCTAAAATGGGATGATTCACTCCCAATGATGTATAGGAAAAGGTGTGTTATCTATTCATTAGGATAGAATATCATGACTCAAATCCTGTCTTTGTGGACTGTCCCATGCAAGGCATGTGAAATAGGATGTTAACTCCTAAATTCTTAAGCACACCCTGCATTCTTAAAGTATTACTAAATAGAATATTGCAGTCCTTAATACTAAAAATCCATATTAAAATAATAGTAAAATTAATCAAAAATAGGTCCTAGTGACCCTGTCACATACATTCAGTTTGTAGTGACCTAAAACCATCAGTTCTTTTATTAGCTCAAAGAACAAGTCAGGGAGAAGCCATTCATAAACAGCAGAAAGAACTGGACTTTTCTGCCGAGAGAGAAGAAAGGGTTAAAAAAGAGTTGGAGGTATAATTCAATACTATAAATATATAATACTGAGAAAACTGTTGTGTATCGCCACCTCAAACCTTGATTTATGTATGGAACAATGATTAATTAAAATATTTTTTATTTTAGTTGAATGCTTACAGTAATAGATAATTTCACCTCATTTGAGTTCATGATTCAGACATGTTTTATGGTTTTTTTTTAAAGCAATACCAAGAGAGGGTAAAAGGTCTTGAAGAAAGCATT